ACGATATAGAGAAAAAAATTATGGAGAGAAATTTCTGTTTTGTGCGTATCTGTTTCGTGTACGAACAGCCCCCTAATAAAAACCGCAAAAAGCAGTTACGGACGGGTCGGGCAAACCCATCTTTTGACCATTAATATTGGGTATTACTACACCCAAGCTCAAGGTCAATCCTTCCTTTGGGCCTCTCTCTAACTTACTAATCCATGTTTGTAAGACAATATAAACACATGAAAAGTTCATTCTTTTTTCTATGTGGGACAAGGGTGGACAAATATCCAACACAATTCCTCTGACAGATTCCATTCCTTCAGAAATCATTCTGCAAACCAAACGCCCCCTAAGTGTATTTCAGTAATTCTAGTTCTTATCTCATCCTTGTTTCATCTTATCTCATTACTTTGGTAGAACAAGAAAGCGTTTTTTCGGTCTCACGTTGCCCTGCCTTGTCTCAGTCCTTGTTTACGTCTCATTTCACATCAAACATAAAACTGCGAGTTTTTGTTTTGTCCCATGTCATGTCAAACATGGGACAATAAGTTTTCACAACATTCATCATGAATACAAACATTCATGATGAATGTTTCGTCCATATCCATCATGAATATGAACAGACTTAGACGGTTCCCCGGTTCTTAACGAAAATAATAACCTAACGTAACTAAATTATGGATTAATGATAGGGGTGTTGGGGTAATTAAGCAAGTAAAGTAGGAGGCTTTTGTTTGAAACAAGATTTGAATCAATTGGGTGTAGAAATATTGGGGTTGCAATTGATTTCAACTTTTGGGCTTTTTGGAGAGAGAAGGTACATGTGGGAATGCAGAAGGTACAAGTGGTTAATTAGTGTGTAGGGGCAAGAAAACAGTAAAAAGTGATGGGAAAGTAAAAGAGAGACGTGGTTGTGAAACAAGAGGGGGCATGTTGATGGATGGTGTAACCAAGAGAGGAAGCAAATGGGACCATTTTGGTTTCCATTTTGTTGAGTAGTCAACTTCAATGTTCCTCCTCTTCTTATTACGTATACAAGAAACCCCAACTCCTTTTCTTGTCTTGTTTTTTTATGACGTATGAAGACGTCATATAAATTAAAAAACTCCCATTTACCAAAACCCTATAAAAAGATTGGTTTGTTAGAATCTTTAAAACATTCTTTAAAATAATAATAATAATAAAAAAAAGAATAAGAAAATCCGTATATTCGAAGGAGAGAGAAGAAATCTTGAAAGTTAAGGGGCTGTTCACTTAAATATTTATGCGGTAAGTGTTTACTTATAAGAGTCAAGACTATAATTTATTTTGATGAGTAAGATTCTATTACATTAAAACGTATTGAATACAACAATTTACCGGGTAAATGCTTACCTGGGTAAGAGTCATATTTTCACTTACCGGGTAAGACTCTTCATCCTTCTCATGACTCATATCCGGTAAGATTCTTGGCTCTTGTCATGTTCATCCGATAATAAAATTTATTCGGTAAGCACTTACCAAGTAAACGTTTAGTAACGACCCCTAAATTTCGTCTCCATGAAAAAGAAAATTCGGGTTTTTATTTTATTTTATTAATATTTTCTTGTTTTAGTAGAATCTTTAAAGGAAAATTGTGTATTTAAAGAAGGGAGAATTGATCTTGAAAATTAAATTTTGGTGGAGAAAGATGATGTATTATTTTGTTTCTTTTACCTTTTTCACTACCAAATGCGACATTCAAATCGGTAAAAACTCTCCATTCCCTTTTTAGGCAGGTTACTATGAAAAAAAAAACAGTTGAATTTCTCTGTTCATTTTTTGGTTGCATCAACCACGGCATCTATATTTGGAATCACACCAAGTGTTGATCAATTTCGATGTTTGTCCATTTACCTGCTAGTAATTATCTATACTATATTATAAAGTATTTGACAAAAACTCTTAAAAACCATTTTTTTTATGTACCAAGTACTGTTTATTGATGCATATTATTTAAAATTTAAGATTACAAGTAAATTATGTATATGTACAACTTATTAGAGTTTCATATTTGAATTCGTGTAACTAACTGCATATAAACATAATCAAATATTGGATAAACATTCAATTTTAATAAAAAAATCTAAAATATAATTAGGATAATTATTAAGTTCTAACAGAATAATTAGTTATTATAATTATAAAAAATTATATTATTAAATCTAAATTAAATTTCTTTGTTACTAAACCTAAATTAAATTATAATTAAAAAATTGAATTAAGATAATTACACCAAAACATAAGAACTTTTACAAAGGTTAATTTGATACTGATATCGATATATATTTTTTCAAAATTTTATAATATTTTCAAATTTATATTTTATTTAAAAATAAAAACATTATCGTTTTCTCAAAACCACATAAAACCGTATTATATCGTCATAAAAAATGAATAAAACGAAACACTAATAATCAAGATGTGTCTCAATACATTGCACGAGTACCCTTCTAGTCATTTATAAAAAAGTTTGCTTAAACTTATCAATTTGTATCAAATAAGTTGGTTGAAAATTGATATTAAACTTATCATTTTGTATGATAGATATAAACACATTGAATCTTTTAGTAATATAATTAATGTAACTAAAAAACATTATAGAACTTGAATATCGAGTAAATTGCAATTTTGCTTCCCATGGTTTGTTGTTTTTCTTGGTTTTGGGTTCTTACAAAATCTTTATTACAAGAAAAGCCTCGTGGTATGTAAAAGTGTTTGATTTAGGACACTGAAACTAACTCCGTTAACCTCCCTCCAGTTAAACCCCCTCATGTGACTTGCACGTGAGGGTACTATTGTATTTTTGTTCACTTCGTGAGACAAACGAACTCCTTCCCTCTCTTCTTTTAGTTCACCATCATCATCTGGCATAAAAACACAAACAAAAACAAATCGATTATCACAAAATCGGTGTTCATTTCCAAACATTCAAAATATAATAAAAAAGATTGAACATAAATCAATCTCAAACTTAATCCCTAAATGAAATTCCAACTTAAACCTTAAATCAAACTCAAATTGTAAACAAAATCAAACTCAAACCAGGTCACAAGTTCATGTGGAGGTCTCCAAGTTCAATTTCATGAAAACCAGTTGTAATTTCCCCTAGATAATCACACACATAAGTTGATAACCTCGACTTGGCTTCTCGATTGTTTGATTTGCAGACGGGAAAGGGTAACCAGAGACAGGGGATGGAGGCCATAGATGGTCAAGTGGTAGGGGCTAGAGACGTGTAGAGAAGATTGTCTCTTCCTGCATAGCGACCATCGAAGATGGGGGGAGGGTGGTGCTTCATCAATTAGTGAGAAGGACGAGGGTGGTGGGTTTTTTATCGCCAGGAACAAAAGGAGGGAAGGGTTAACCGGTGGTCAGTGGTCACCGTTGAAATGAGGGGTGGGCCTCTGTGCATATAATATAATGATTATATATACGTTAATTTTTATTTTCAAAAGAAAATAGTAGAATGACCAAAATATCTCTTACTTAACTGGTTTTTTTTTAACATCCATCACGCTTAAGGATCCAAACCAAGCACTTTTGCATACCACGAGAGTTTTCTTGTAATAAAATTTTATAGGCACCCAAACCAAGAAAACCAACAAAGCACAGGGACCAAAATTGTAATTTACTTTGAATATAATACAATATTTCATTTTTCTATTTTTGAAAATCTATTGGATAAGCTATTAAAATTGAGACATGAAATCTTTAAATTATCACAAAACACAAGATTTTGTAATAGAAAATGTTGTTATCTTTTTTTTTTTATAATTATTTTCAAAACACAAAAAGAAGGTGGAAATTTTGGACCATGAAGACAAGAAAGGAGAAGTAAGGCACCAAAAGCACTTTTGTCCTCAGATTTCTTTTCAAAACTTGAAACATAAAACTTCATAATTTATTCTACAATGTTAATTAATAAAAAAAATACTGACCAACAAAATGCCCAAAACAGACATTCGGTTTAATCTTGAACTCTCACGTTAGCCTCAGTTGTTGAGTGAGTTTAAAAATATCTATTTACATTGACATCTTTGAGGACGAATCTTGTGACCAAGATTATCGAAATCAACTTTTATCCAAATAATTTATTTACAATATTATTTAATAAAAAATATTTTTTTTTATTAATCTGGATATCCAACCCGTTATGTGAATCAACTAATCCCATGACGACCACCTGTTTTGCAGATAGCCTGGAGTCATCGTATTTGAACCTCCGTGGGACCGTGGCTACAATGAGATTTTTATTCCTCCTTGGATTTGAATCTAAAACCTGACGGTACTTTTAACCTTTAAAGCCAAACTTAAACCAATCAGACACCATCCTTACGGTTAAAAAATAGTTATCATCAAACGGGTGGAAAAAGGAAAAGACAAACTTATTAGGAATAGGGATTTCATGTAGATGTGCACGTGTGAGAGAGAAGAAACAAATGAGTGTGGATGTTACGCGGTTGTTTATGGGGCACCACCTTTTTCTCCATTTCTTCTCCCTAATCATTTCCATGGTTGGTGCATGGCCTAACACAATTTCATTATTTCCTCATAACATTTTTTCTTTTTCTCTCGAATTAAATAAATCCAGTATATTTTATTATCAGTATAATTTGCTATCTAAAATGCCAGTATAATCTGCTATTCGGTTAATTGATACAGTGAAAAAAAACCAGAATCAAAACTTACCTTATTCCAGTGTGACTCTAAAAAAGGTATGAATGGAGTTTGGTAAGTTATGTTATGTGGGATGCCACGACGCACGCATGTTTGATGAAAGTGAGTCGGAAGACGATAGAAGACAATAATAATGAACAAGTGGAAAGAAAACCAACATTATGAATCATTTGCTTCGTTTTCAAATAACTCATCTAAGCAATAAAGCCTCCAAGACAAGTCAAATATTTGACTTGCCCTCTCTCTCTCTCTCTCTATCTTATTGGTGAAGACCACCAGCTTATGGTGGACCATGGTGTAGGAGAATGTTGAAACTCACCATATATATTTGTATGTGTGTTTTAATATTGGTGTGGAAGGTTGTGATAAGGTGTAAGCCAGACATGAAGGGAACTGTGAGGTACTTGGCTGGGATCGCAGGTCAAAGCGGGTATGGATCTAAGTCAACTGCTGAACAAGTTACGGAACACTGTTCTTCCCTTCCTCCTAATCTCACTGCTATCGTCACTGGTATTTTTCTTTCGTTTCTTCTCTCTCCTTCCATGGCTAACATTCATTACATACATACATGCATACATACATACATACAGAGGCGGTTTCAGACCTAAAGACGTTCGACTTACGATAAGTGTGAGAAGAGCTAAAACACATGTGATACAATGGCAAACACATTGTGTTGAGCAGCCATCGCACGGTCGAGTTTTCATGCTACAGACCAAGTCGGACGCGTCCTTTTGGATCCATTCAATCGTTTCTGATTTTACCTTTAGAATGATTGGATGTGATCTGACCTTCTCACACTTCTCGCAAGTGGATTGTCTTCTCACATGATCCTATATCTATATCTATATCTATATCTATATCTATATATATATATATATACACACGTACACACATATGTATGTATGAGAAGCAATGCAAATCTTCCTCTGATCTCTTCTTGCTATTGATTATCGTTCATGAAATCATGGCATGATTTGGAATTTCCAAGTTAGAATCTGAATTCACGTTTCCGGATTTGATTTGTTTTTCAGTAAGTTGTTACTGTTTGATTCGTCTGCTGATGTAGTTATCGTTCGATTTCAAAATGGTTTGATTTCAAAACTTAGTTATGGAATGACAATTTTTTTTTGATTAACCTGGATATTCAACCCGTTATGCGAGCCGACTAATCCCAGGACGAACATCTGCTTTGCAGATAGCCTAAAGTCACCGCATTTAAACCTTCGTGGCCATAAATGGACTTTTATTTATCCTTGGATTTGAACCTTTGACCTCCTGATACTTTTGACCTTTGAAGCCAAGCTCAAACCAATCAAACACTACCCTTATGGTTAGTTATGGACTGACAATTGAAATCAAAATTTCATGAGATGAAATATTGTTTGAATGATAGAGAAGAATGTGGTAGGGTTTGAGGGAATTATGAGGATGGAGGAGGTGCCACTGATGCTTTGTGACAAAAATTCCAAAACCACATAATTTCTCACCCAAATCCAACCACTAAAAGAATATCTGCATGGTGATGACATATTTATTTTAAAGAAATAAGGATATATATATATATATATGTATGTATATATATATATATATATATGTATATATATATATATATAATAAATTTATAAAAAAGAAAATGGGACCCACCTCATTTCCATGTTGAGCAAAAAATGGTTTTGTCTTTCATGAATAACTTTTTTCATTGGTTGACACAATATCACTGCTTTCCAGACAATCCCCATGACAAAATCACAATCATGTTCTCCCTTTTATAATTCTTTTTCTTACATATTTCCTTTTCTAAGTTTACGTTGTTTTCACCATCTTTTATATATATATATATTCTTGTATTAATGGTTTTATTTTTGTGTTTTGTAGTAGAAAAATTATATTATTTGATTTTAGAGAAAAATTATTCCAAAAGAAAACATTAATTAATGTACAATATTTGTTTTATGGATAACAATATGTGTATTAATCTAATTGTTTTGTATTTTTAATTAAAGGGGCTACATCTGGAATTGGTGCTGAGACAGCCCGCGTGTTGGCAAAGAGAGGCGTGAGGATTGTGATCCCGGCAAGAGATCTACGGAAAGCAGCACAAGTGAAAGAAAATATACAAAAAGAACACCCGAAAGCAGAGATCATAATTCTAGAGATTGATTTAAGTTCATTTGCTTCTATCAAAAAATTCTGTTCAGAATTTTTGTTTCTCGGGCTACCTCTTAATATTCTCATGTAAGGTTTTGCATGCATGTTTGTTTGAGTATGCAAATTTTGAAAATTCTTGATATTTGTGTATATATGCTACTAATTATGGATACATGTTCTTTTTTTCTTTATAGAAATAATGCAGGAAAATTTTCTCAGAAATTGGAGTTCTCAGAGGACAAATTTGAGATGACTTTTGCTACAAATTATTTGGGTAACCTCTTCATTCAATACCCATAAATACAACTGTTAAAAGCTCTTTACGTATAATGTTTCCCTCCAAAAATTATCGTATAAAATTATATTTATATATTATATACATTTTTTCAATAAATATAATATAAGCTTTATATATGTGGATCCATATATAAACATAGTATATATCTAATTAAAGGGTTGACTTATGGTGAAAAGGGAAGTTACCGTGCAAAACCTAATAACAGATCTCCACCTTTAGATCAATCACAATTGAATGTCAATACTAATAAAGTGCATCGATATGCAGCGGATCAATTCCCTTCTAAAGTGCAGTATATAAGAGTTGGCATGAGATTAAAAGTGATCGATAATTCATATATCTTCTTATGATTCCATCATAATTTTCATTCTCACATGATCATTCATCTTTAGTTAAATATGCTTAAATGATTCATTCTTATAATAAGAATGTATTTAACATCTGATCTGATTCAACTTTAGTGACATTTGTGTATCGTACCGTGTCATCACCAAATATAGGTATTTATAAAATATTAGTGGCATTGATTATGATTGATAAAATCGATGGATTTTACATCAAATAACATTTTAGGTTTTTGATTGATGATTAAATTATTAATATTATATATATATATATATATATATATATAACAATATTTTATATTTGTTTTAAAAAAGTAAAAGCAAGTAAATATGGAGAAATAGAGGTGAAAAGCAAAGGTCAACTAATGTCGCATCGATAGATAGTGGATGGGTTGATGCATTTCGACTGGTTCTCCAACCACTATTTCATTTAAAATATTAACAGTAAATTATATTTTTAGTTTTTTTTTTTCATTAATTTGATTTTTATTTTAAATTAATTGTAGTTTTGGTAATTATGGTTGCTATTTTAATTTATTTTATTTTTGGTCCCTCTAACTAACTCTAGTTAAAATGTTATGGGCCGTTTACCTAAACACTTATTCGGTAAGCACTTACCGGTAAAATTCAACATTACCGATTACTTACCGGATAAGATTTTATTCACTAAAACGCATTGTATGCAACAATTTATCTCGGTAAGCACCAACCGTAGTAAGAGTCTCCGTCCTCACTTACCGAGTAAGACTCTCGATTCTTGCCTTTGCTCTTACCGGGTAAGATTTTTAGTCATTGTCATATTCATCCGATAAATTAAAGTGATTTGGTAAACGCTTACCCGGGTAAACATTTGGTAAACGACACCTTAGTTAATTTAAGGGTATTTTGGTCATTTTATTTTGTTTGTCTTTTTCCTTTTTTTTTGCTTTACTATAATATAGAGTAAATTACGATTTTCGTCCGTGTGGTTTGTTAAATGGTTTCTATTTTCACCCCACTTTTCTCAAATATTAGAGCTGGGTAACAAAATAAAATGTGTAATTTTTAGAATGAGCTACAAGGGTGTTTCTATTTATCTTGAATAAAACGATTCAGAATGCTGTATATATTAGATCTGTTAACAATAAAATATAAGTTTATTTGGTACATTTGTACATATATGGCTTGAGTCGAAATTGCCTTTTTGATTAGAAATCATCTAATTATAATTTTTTTTTTGATCTAAATAGGTCATTTTCTATTAACGGAACTACTGTTAGAGAAAATGATAGAAACTGCAACGCAAACCGGAGTCCAAGGAAGAATAGTGAATGTTTCGTCGGTGATTCATGGTTGGGTGAATAAAGACCACTTCAGTTTCAACCGAATGCTCCAACCAAAATAGTATGTGCCAGATCTTTTTATCGTTTGCAATAAAGGTTCAATCATGCTCTAGGATTCAAGTTATATATAAGACTCTCGTCGTAATTTATGTCGTAGCTATTCGCGTTCTAATGTATGCACGTTTGATACAGTTATAACGCAACACGAGCATATGCCCAATCGAAGTTGGCCAACATAATGCATGCTAATGAAATTGCAAGACAAATTAAGGTACACGTGTTCCTAAACATGGTATTTATGTCACAACCCTTGATGCATGTAAATTATCGATCTTGATCTGATTCAGGTTTTTGTTTGATTTTGGGATCAAATGACAGGAAAGAAATGCAAATGTAACAATCAATGCAGTACATCCAGGGATAGTGAAGACTGGAATCATCAGGGATCACAAAGGCGTTATCACAGGTATGCTTCAATAACCACGCACAAATTTGTGTAGGTCCCACCCTGGCCCTATTTTATGTAGGATTTACTGGGTTGATTTTTTTAGATACTACTCAATCCGATCATGTTACAAGAAACACAAACATCAAACGCTAAAATCATCTTTGGTGTTTTCCAGATTCTCTGTTCTTCGTTGCTTCTAAGTTGTTGAAATCAACATCACAAGGCGCATCAACCACATGCTATGTAGCTCTGAACTCGAAAACAGAAGGGATGAGTGGGAGATATTTTGTAGATTGTAATGAGAGCCGTTGTTCAACGCTTGCGAATGATGATTCTGAAGCACACAAGCTATGGAAACAGACTCGGGCACTCATCCATAAACGACTACGAGCCAACTAAGATCTTGAAATTCTTTTAATTATCTGGTGTCGATCGAGCTATATATACTTTTATATATTATGCTCTCTGTATATGTGTAGATTTAGATGTATATTTTGAATCCTAACATGGGATTTGTCAAGACGAAAGATAAATTACAAAGGCAAGTCAAAATATGGCAAATTGTTGGAAATAAATATAATTATTTTCTAATACTGATAAGAGATGGTAATGTTGTGTTTATGTATGCAAATTTTCTAATTTTGTTTTTCATATTATTATCAGTTAAGTACATAAAATGATACATATGGTTGGGTTCACATGAGACCAAGAGTTTTTCGCGAGACCCGTAAGACCAATTTATGTTCATTGATCAACTTTATAAGCTAATGATCTAATGGTCTAAAGTTGCACGGTGGCAATTTTGTGATCATTAAGAAGTCTCATGGCGTTTATGAATGTTCAGATTGTCATATTGTAGATCTAATCCAAGGGTTGAGAATTGGTCTTACGGCTCTCATGAAAAACTCTTGGTCTCACATGATCCCAAGTCATGATACATATGTATCATCTATATTGGAATTAGAAATATATAAAAAAGGCAAAATTTACAAAATTGATTATATATATTACATATGTTTTTACGTTTATTTAAAAGTATGTTCGAGATGATATATAATTTGTTAACGATTGAACCTAAAAAATAAATAATATTTTAATATAAATCTAAAAGAGGAATAATTATCCCGTGAAAAGAGGAGAAAAAATTGAGAGGGACTCAAATCCCGTAATGTCATCATTATTGATGACTCAAAGACTCTTCCCCATTGTATGAAAAAAGCCGTAAGTTTTGTTAAACGAAATCGATTAAAGGTATGATTATTATGTAAAAGTTTCATTTTAATGATGAATCATAAGCCATAATTTTTACTTTAGAGTTTAAAAGGTTAATAACGTTGAGATTAGGGGTGTAGTAGGTTGGGTTGACTAGTTTATGACATTTGTATAACATAACATGTTCAATTTGTGTTCGTAATTGCCACAATTGTTCATATATGTCAATTTGTGTTCATATGGGTGTATACATGTCAAGCGGCTGGTTCAAATACTAACCAAGATTATCGTGTTAACTTTGTTAACCGATCTTGGTCGTTGATTTGAACATCCAACGGTTGTCATTTATTGAGACTAAAAATTTAATTATTTAATTACCATATTAATAAAAAATTAGGTTCATAATGGTTCAAAGGGTAGAATTGTAAAAAGTGAATGATCTTAACGTATCCTATTTTGTCAGTCTATTCTGTAACTTCTAATCAATAAAGAAACCGTCAATCTAATCGATCAATATCTTAAATCAGTAGCTAAAAATTAGGTTCATAATCTTCATCAAAACAATAGAGGATTTGGAAGGATTACCAGGCGACGGCATCCAGATAAGATTGAAACATGTGTGTGAACCTAATGAACAATGTGTGAACCTAATGAACAATTGAAAAATTAGGTTCATAATCTTCATCAAAACAATGTGTGAACCTAATGAACAATTGAAACATGTGTGTGAACCAAATGAACATATTGTGTGAACCAATTGAACACATATGTGCACGAGTGAACACATATGTGCATGAGTGAACACATATGTCGACGTTTGAGTGAACATGTGCGTGAACGGTTTGATCATTTTCTTCACTTTCGGAATTCGAATTCTGAATGTATTCGTAGACGCTTTTAGCTTTTTCATTCTCATTGTCGTGGATCTGTTTTACTCTATGATTATCCATATTACTCGGACTATAACGGAATCTTTACAAAAGGGACTTTTTGAAATTTACAATATCAAAACCATTGTAGGAAGAATGAAATGTAAAAATCAGTAAGATGAACAAATGTGAAACTTTACGTAATTATTACATGAAGATCAATTAGTGATATTTTAAGATTTGTAACTCCCAATTAAAATATTGGGGAGTTAGATAAAATGACAAATTACCTAAATATCCTTACACTTAATATGTGAGTTACATTTGAACCTAACTAAAAGATGGAACATGATTGGTTGATGTTGGTTAACATAGTTAACACAAAAAATGGGTTAGTATTTGAACCAACCTCTACATATCAATTTGTGTCATATATGTCAATTTGTGTTCATAATTACCAAGACACCCGCTTTGATTATTTATTTCACTTCCCGATCTCGAACTCCGACTGTCACTATAAACAATTTTAACCTTCTCAATATTGTCATGTTGTTTTCCAGTGTCTTTTATCCAAAATTGTTTGAATGATAACAAACACTTTACTAGTGAATCTCCTCCACCAATCACTATTTTAAAAATATTAAAAATGAAAGATCAATATTAAAAAATAAAAAAATCACAAGATAAATATTAAAAATGCAAAAGTTATGGGATTTTATGGATCTTGTAACTCCCAATTAATGATGTAGGAGTTACAAAAAAGAAAAGAAATTACTCATATACCCTTAACATTAAATTCTTAGATAGTGAAGAACCTAATACAAAGATGGATTGTAATTGGTCTAAAATGTTTGTAAAATTAACACAATAATTTGGGTTAACATTTAAACTAATCTCTCTCTCTCTCTTTCTCTCTCTCTCTCTCTCTCTCTCTCTCTATATATATATATATATAGGGGTGAATTCATTTGTTAACCCAATATATAGTGTTAACTTTGTAAACTCATCTCATCCATTGATCTTTAAAAATTTATGGTTGAGATCATTCATGATATAAAATTTAATTAATTATACAAAGAGGCAAGGTAACATAAGTGAACAATGTTTACAAAGGGTACATTGAAAAAAGATTTTAGTGATATGAGATTCAACTTGTTCACTCATGAAACATGCTTAAAGCCATATAAGTGTTATATCAACAAGCTTTTACGAACATTCTTATGTCAATTCATGTAAAACCGTTCATGAATGAACAAGTATTCATGGTTCATATGTACTCATTGTTCATGTTTTTTGATAAATATATTCGTGGTCCACCAATAAATACATTACTTTTTAATAGAAATAATGAGCTATCGTTCATCGATGAACACCATATGGTTAACAAAAGATCTTGAACACCTATGAACACCATATGGTTAACAAAAGATCTTGAATACCTATGAACACGACATGGTTATGAATACAATCGTACGAGTCACTCAAATACACTTTAAAAATACATTTTATTACGAGAATTGTGAACATTTTTTTGCGTTTTTTACGAATTTAGAACTTGGTATGTAAACCTCTCAACCTTGTTACATATTTTATAGTGTTTAGAGGCCAAAAAATACAAAAAAAAAGGGGGGTCAAAATCAACTAGTTAACGACTATATTGAAAAAAATGTCATTTTTCTGAATATTTTGGGCTGGGCCGGGCTGGTCCATAACCGGTTCCCGTCCCATCCCCATTTGAGCTATTTTTTTTTTATCCAAATCAGCCTGGAAGTGGCCCAACTTCTTACCTAAATAGATTCACTTGGTAATTTTGGGCCTCTTTGTATTAACCTTTAATTTAATTATTTAAATTATATTAAGATGTTTGATTTAAGTTTAATACGAAGGGTCTGTTTGATTTGTATAATTGTGTTTGAGGGATTTGGATTGCAATGTATTTGAAATCATTGGTATGTTTAATTTTTAGTATTTGGAATAGAATTGGATTCCACTATTTATAAATAATTAAATTACATTTTTATTAATCAATTATTACAAAACAAATATTTTGAACATTTTTTAAAACCTTATTTCATACAATCCTAAGAAATCCCTGAAATCCCGAACACTCCCATAGGATTTCAAAAATCCTATGTTTGTAATATTTCTATGAAATCCGGACAATCCAATAAACCAAACATGAGATTAGAATGAATTTAAAATTCCAAATCCTCCCAAATCTATCCCACTCTTGCAAACCAAACGGGACGTAAGAGATGGGTTTGGATTTGATTAATTAGACTAAACATGCGAATTAAAATTTATTACAAACAATGACAACGATATCCAACATTAGTTCACTCTCGATGATGATGTAAATACTTATCAGTGATCTCGTAAATGTAAAAAGATAAGACAAGCTCAAGTCGGGTATGGTTATCAACAAGCTCTGACAACCTTCGTTTTCACCTAATTAGACATTAGCCAAAATCAGTTCTTTAGCTAAATCTTAACTACAAGTGAAACAATGAACAAGCTCTCAACATCCCAAGCGTAATTAGCTTTAACGAATTAGAAAACAACGACTCAAATAATTAAGCTCATATGCTCGGCTTAATATCACTTTGATTATGAGATTTCAAGAACTCAAATTGAAAACTTTATTGAATTCAAAGAGTTCCATTGTCACTCTATCAAAGCCATAAGACAATTACGTATCTAATGTTTTGAATAACAAGTATTCATAGGACTGTTAACTAATCGGCCAATGTAATTAACATTCAAATGAAATTAACGGTTAACCTAGAAATCAAACAAATAAACTTGTCCCAAACCATTACAACGACATCTCAAAGTGGGAAAACATCAAAATCTAAAGTTAACTAATGTTGGAATAAATAAATTAGCCACACATAGCTAAACTAGGTCACCGGTTCAAAAGATTTTTAAAGATTTACCGAAAGAATAACGGAAGATTGATGAGAAATTTGTTGTCCTCGCCCAATCGATCGATCTCCTACCGTTTTCTCCAATCAAAACCCACGACATGTTGCTGTCTTCGCTCCCGCCCCAGAATACGTGCCTTACTGCTTCTCTCGATCCCTCGCTTCTGCTGTTTGTGGGCTGCTTGTTGTTGGGCTGGTTGTTGTTGGTGTTGGGCCTCTTCTGTTGGGCTACTTGTTGTTGGCCTAAGATCACTACTGTAGTGAATAAATTGACACTTTATCATTGGGACTTATCGCTCCCGATTACGAGCTAACTTATTCGAATTAAGACCAACTTAAAACCGACAGCGTCCGACTTAGGACTAGGTTTTCACCCATCTATATATAAAATTCTTTCAAAAACAATTTCACTTTTATTAAATTGTTTTAAATTAAGTATTCAAGAATAACATATTTATTAAAAATATGATATATTTTTTCAAGATAAATAATTTATTTATAAGAATATGGAACACTTATTATTTTTATAATTTAAAAAAAATACATTTTTAACATTTTTTTAATCAAAAGT